ATGGATGGATGGATGGATGGATGGATGGATGGATGGATAGATAGATAGATAGATAGATAGATAGATAGATAGATGTCTTGCAGATGCTTAAGACACCCATTTCACTCCTTAAAATTTAGAAAATCCTTACAGAAAATTCTTCTGTATTTTTGGAGTGCAACCCTTGACTTGCAAAAGCTGGTATGTCCTTCTAGCTAATAGAAGCTGTGCATCTCTCACCTGAAAAAGACAACAGTCCAAGTTGGTGTCAGGATACTCTTTTTATCTATGATAGCTTTAATTTTAACAACTAGCAGTTATCTTGTTTCCATGTACTTTTCATTTGTCATATTGAGACAGTTGAAGGGATGGAAATGGATTCAAAGCAACAATGGGTGTAATATCTTTAGCCTTTTTGGCTCCTTCACTTTTATAGGATATCTTCTCTCAAAGACTATTGTTGCATCTAAAAATATTTTAACACTTGCTAACCAGCATATTTACTCTACACCTCCCATGTTCGAACATCCTTTAACAAAATGTAGACTTATAACTTGAAGAGTAGGCCACAATTTTTCTCTTCTCTTCCCTTCTTTTGTTGATGTTATTGACCTGTATCATGACCTAAGCTGGCCTAATGATCAGGGAACATTCTAAAGAGACTGCTAAAGATTCAGAAACACCACGTGCTGTTACGAGGAATTACTTTTTGTGGAAAGAAGGTCTTCTGTAATCTAGAGTGGCACAAAGAAAGGAACTTGGGAGAGGAAGCTAAAAGCAAAGATTTCTAGTAATTATTGTATTAATAAATAAAGCTGGTACATGATAATCCTAAAGCTTTGCAAATATTAAACGTTCTAGACAAATTTTCTCTCTTCAGCCAACCTATCCTGTATGCTTCAGATATCCTCGTTTGAGAAAAATAGCCAACATTTCTAAAGCTTCCATGCCTGATCATTTGAATACTGTGGATACTCACCTGGCATGAGTCTGTATTTTTAAATTTATTCTCATTAATCTAGATAGGAAATAATTTGTTCCCACCAACAAAGATAGCAGCTACAGTCACTTCAGACAATTTTTCGATATCCATACAGCAGAACAATTTGTATAGCAGATGAGCTTCCTCACTCAAATCTCTTTATCTTCTGTTAAATATGAGAATAGACGCTATGGATAAATTAGGATAGAGGGACCATTCTAAAAAGAAGCTCCTAATGTGATAATGTGGATATGGCAGAATATTTTTAAAGCCTGAATTAAATAGGCATTGAACAGGGGTTACAACCCTTTTGCTTTGATCCTTTTCTCCTTTCGGGAATGTCTGAAAAATCTGAGCACTGTTATCTCTATCCCTGATAAATTAATAAAAGTAAATAACAAAAACGACTTATTTGCATCTTCTCTCCATTTAGATACAACCTGTCCAGAACCCCCTACAGTTGAAAATGCGATAATTATGGAAGATAGAAGAGAAAAGTACCTGCCCGGCCAGAAAATAAATTATCAGTGTAATGATGGTTTTGAACTATCTGGATCAGCTACTGTAACATGTACAGAAAAGAAGTGGTTACATTTACCAAGATGTGAAGGTAGGAAAGTATAATCTATGGGATATATTCCAGATGTTCTTGCTGTGAGCCAAAATTCACCTGGAGAGTACAGAGAGGGGAAATGTGAGAAATGAGGGCATTCTTGTTGTTGTTTTTACTTAGAGCATTTTTTAAAATTCTGGAATGAAATTAGGTATTATTAACCTGAACCATCCACCCTAGGAGGAGCTGATCCTGTGTCATTGCTCCTAGTTTTCCTTTGACAAATAGGTAAGCCTGTGGGTACTTTGAGACACACATCATTTTCCCACCCACCACCTTCCATCCCACAGGTTTCCTTATCCACTCCCTAAGTAGGACAGCCTTCCCTCCAGCTGACCAGCAGGAAGGAACAAAACATAGCCTCTAATCAGTGAGGAAAAAAATTAAGTCACCACTTCGCAGAGGATTTGCAAGACTACCCTTTAGATTGGCAGGAAGGATGAAGAGGCCATGGCAAGCAGCAATTGGCGCCTTGACTTCTAGTGGGTAGAGACACTGGGAGGTGGATGAAACAGAAACTCCTCCAGTGGGAAACGTCTGTTCTTCTGTTCAAGAGGAAATCCCGCTCAACACTCTTGGCAGCATTTCCTCTGCTTCAGCATTTCCTAATTGGGTCAGCCTATGAAGATACTCCCAGTCTCCATGAGGTCATGGAGACGCGGGATGAGAGACAGATCTTATTGTGTCTGGAAGTAGCACATGTGTCTGCCTTGGCTGCTCTGAATGATCAAGCTTGTTTGTTAATGTATTTTCCCCACTTCTGCCCCACCACAGTTTAGAGACTCTTAACTGCTTATCTAGAGTACAAATAAAATATCCAGCTATAAAAACAGCAAAACAACAGCCCTGAAATGGAAAACTACAAACAGTAAGAAAGAGAAAGAGAACATTTACTAGCCTTCATCTCAGCCTATTCTCCCCCACCCAGATCTGACAGCTTCCAAGCACCAGGAAGGGACACTGAGCGCATCTCCCTCACAGCCTAGGATAGCTGATGATACGGCACCCTGAACGGTCAGATGATCTTGCCCAGTGGCTCCCTATGGATGTTAAACAGCAGGGGAAAGAGGACTGACCCTGTCGAACCCCACAGATCAGGGGCCACTGAGCCAACCTCTCCTCCCCGCCCATCACAGCTGCATCCATCGCTTCGCTATCCAGCTTCACGAGAGACTGAAGGGAGGGGAAAAGACCAGAATAGTTCATCATGCAGAGATGCATTAGACAGCTCCTTCTCCGCATGTTGTTCATAGAAGGGTTTACTAATTAATTTTCTCGCAGGATAGTGCAGTTTTCAATACTCGATTTCAGAATCGTTCTAAAGCGCAGTTACCAAACTTTCATCTGTGTTCTTCTTTAGCTTTTACAAACAACATTAGACAATAGATTATATACTTCACTGGGGTTCCCCCAACCCCCAGGTTAATAGTCATCCAGCAAAGGAAGTTTCAGGGCAAATTATTTACACAAACAATCCACCACCAGTAATCTAAGGCTGATCAAGTTGCATGGTAGTAATGATGTAAAGCACCAATTTCGTTTCTGCAAGATGATAGAAACAGTCGCTGTAGGAGGAAGAGGAGATCCATTGTCTGTAGCTTCACTTTCACCCCAAGTCAGTGGAAAGCACCTGAAGCCTGCAGGGCCAACCACTGTGTTTTCCATTCCATATGATGTGGTTGTCAGTTTTGATTTTAAAAGCAGAGGCATGTTTAGATGATTTTGCTTTGGGAAAACAAAATGCACTTTATCCGACTGGGACCTTTTTTCTCAATCATTTTAGATGTATCGTGTATTTCTCCCCCTCAAATTGAAAATGGTCGGATTAATGGTCTAATAAAGGAAAGGTATTTGCCCCTGGAGAAGGTGAGCTATCGATGTCACTCGGGTTACAGTCTTATTGGACGCTCTTACGTTACATGTGTGAAGAAACTTTGGACAGAAAAACCACATTGTGCAGGTATTTATGTACAGATCTTTATATGCAGAAGTGAGGATAGAATTGGAAATGAATTTGCTTCTACTTTACAGGGTCCTGCATGTTATTCTGAAAAGGTTCTATCAGGCTTTTTCAGTGTTTTACTGCTAAAGTTATATACTGTCCCTCAGAATTTAACCTGTCTTGTTGAACTATGAAGGTAGAATATGCTTTCAGTAAAATTTATTTATTTGTTTATCAGACTTATATAGCCACCCATCTCATGACAATTGACTCTGGGCAGCGCACAACAAAGCTAAAAACAGGCGGTCAATAAATACGAAACAAGCAGTGTTATAATTATTGTTAAAAACATTAAAAACTATAAAAAACAAAACTAAAAGAGAAGGAATATTAGGCAAAGAGATGTTAACAATAATGTAGCTACCTTAATAATTTACCAGTCCCCTGGGCTCCCCAGGCCTGATGGCACAACCAGATTTTGAGGGACCTTCGGAAAGTCAAATAATGAAGCCAGCCTCACTTCGGGGGAGAGGATATTCATTCATTCATTCATTCATTCATTCATTCATTCATTCATTCATTCATTCGTCACCGCCCATCTTGTTAAAAAACAACTCTGGGCAGTTTACAGAAAACCAAGGTCCAAAAAGCAGTCCAATCGTTGCCCAAATATCCCGTCAATGGATTGATTCATATCTGCTAATGTGAGTATCTCAGTCTTACATTTGGCTGGCACCCTGATTCCCCTGGAAGGGTGTGCTATTACACAATTCAGAACTCTTCAAATACTGGCTTTTCTTTCTATCCTGTAGGAGTCTTCATTACTTCTTCTTCCTGCATGCCTTTAAGGAGTTATCTTCTGGTTGTATTGGGCCTAAACCCAGTTCCCAGTGGAATTCTGTCTCTTCCAATGGCTGTCCTCTAGCCTTATATACTTTCCACAAACTTTTCTTTTACAGGGACAACCCATTAAGTCCCTAGATAGGTAGAGCCAGGAAGGTGACTTTGGAGAAAGAATCCAGAGGCCGTTAAGGAAACACCACATGCAGAAGAAACATGTATTAAGTCCAGAGAGGTGGGACAGTGCTCTGAAGAGATTCAGACTACCCCCCATCCTGACTCCTTGGAGTATACGGGGAAGGGAAGGGAAGACACAGAAAGACTTGCAAGTTTCTGTTACTAAAACCCGTCTCAATAATGTACAGTTCCAGTCTTCCTGTGGAGTCTGTTTCCTGATCTGGTCTACTTTGAAGGGTTGACACTACAGCTAAGAACCACTGAATCCTAGAATTATTCAATTGGAAAGTTCACCAGATCTGGTGCTTTCATCAAAATGCAAATTCCACCCCTTTTTATTTCTGTGCGAAACTCATTCAAAAGGGGTAGAGGTTGTACACACTTTTCTTCCCCCACCCCCACTGGACATCCTCCCTCCTCGTAGATGTCTTCTCCTACATGTTAACCAAAGCCATCATGGAAAAAAGTCTAATTAGAGGAACAGGTAGAAGTTCCAGGCATCAGGGTCAAAATGGACAAAGATTTTTCAGAAAGCAGAAGACTTTGAGGTATCCTATAAAAAACTACACATCCTATTAGTGCAGGATTTGAACAGTTATTAATAGAAAGTGAGTAGTAAAATTAAGAACCCCTTGTGGGGAGATTCCATTAATCCCAAAGCAAGTGCTATTCGTTTTATCACAGATCTGCCTAAGGTACTAAGAAAGTGCTGATGGTAGACTTTCTAAAGCTGGAAGACAACCTTAGGGACAACTTATTAATCATTCTCGGCCCATCACTTAAACAAGCTGTATGACATTGTTGCTTTTTCAAAATAAGAATTTGTATTAGTATTATTTTGCATTGTAGTTCCTTACTGAACAAACATATAAACATTTGTGTGTACACTATAATATTTGTAATCATGAGGAGTATTGCTCAATAGATTCTGTATCTAATGTAGATATGAAGGGAAAATGTGGACGCCCACCTCTTGTGGATGATGCAGACGTCTTGCAGACACTCAAGTCAACCTATTCCTCATATGAATTTGTAACTTATCAATGCCAAAATCGTTATACAATGGAAGGATCTCCAAGAGTGACTTGTCAAAATGGCCATTGGTCCCAAGCACCAACATGCAGAGGTATAAGTAATATTTATAATTCTTTATAGACAAATATTGTACTTCTGGAAATGTATAAATTTCCTGACGACAAAGCTGTTGTGTCAGCATGTTATTGTCAGAAGGCGTTTTACTGCCTTGTAGTTGAATTAGAAGCTGTTGTATTGTGAACCAAGATAAGGAAATTATCTCAGAGAGAAAGAAGATCTGAAGTCACATCTTAACAGCAGTTTCCTGAACTTGGTCTTTGCATAATTCAGACCTTCAGCATGAGGGAATCTGGAAGAAGAAGGGGACTAAAATGTTTTCCTTCTGCCTTTTACACATAGAATATTGTCTTGCTTAAAAGAGGTTTGTATAAGTCAGGCAGTTTATTTCATGACCGATAACAGTTGAAAGACAAAAGGAAAGGGGGGGGGGATAATAGCAGAGAAAAAATCATTTATTTAGATCTCTAACTGTTTTTACTATTGCAACATAAACTTTAATCTCTATCAAAGGAATTCTTCAGTGTAAAATAAAACTTCTATATATCATCTGATTTGTGTCCTGCAGTTCCTTGTACAGCAAGTGAAGAAGATATGAGAAAAAACAATATAATACTGAAGTGGAAGGACTCTGATAAAATATATTCTGAGGCTGGAAATACAGTTGAATTTCAGTGTAAAAGAGGCTATCATCCACATCCAAATTCCAGGCCATTTAGGGTTCGTTGCGTGGATGGGAAATTTCAGTATCCACATTGCATTGATGTATGTATATTGTCAGAAAAATACTGTAGTTCACCAATATTAACATTTTACCTCCCCAACCTATAGAGAGATGTGTGTCTTAAAATAACAAATGGTTGGTTTTGTAATAATATGTCTTTATTGTCAGATCTGGAAACCATTCTGAATCTCAACTTGGAACATAAAACCAGCTTTTCAAATGATTTTCATTAGCTCCTTCCCTTTGTGTTCTTACTCCTCTCTCATCTTTCTCCTTTCCCATGTTACTGTCATCTTTCCCTGTATTCTCCCCATCTTCAATAAGCTGATTTGAAAAAGAAAAATAATTTTCTTCTGTTTTCCAGGTGTCTTTTGATACACGTGACTGCCAAAATGACTGCAGTCGTTAATCCCAGTTGGATAGAATCAGTCATGAACGTAGCTGAATGGTGAGTGATTTATGCCTAAACTTTTTCAGGTTTCCCTGGTTAACTTGGATAAAACATTATTTCAGGGATATGTCCCATAAAATGAAAAAGATGGCTCCCTCTCAATCATCTTCAGCCGCAAGGTCCCTTCCGATAACATAGAAGGAGAGAAGCCTGATGAGTTTGCTGTTTTTGTATATTATATATATAACTGTGCATTGAAAAGCACTTGAAATATTTAAAAGGCCAAAGGTCTGGCAGCTAAAGCTGTGGACAAAATGGATCCCAAGCCAACTTGGTCTTCTGCAATTGTTCTAAATCAGGACAGCTCTTAAGGCCCCTGTGATCTAAATGAAATTCCTTCCATTCAGAGCAATGGCAGAGAAGTGTTATGGTGTGGGGGGCTGATCCCTAAAACAGTTAGGAATGGGACAGGAAGATACAATAGCTGCCATCATTTCATCTCTTCTGGTCTGTTGCTGAATCCTGGCAGATTCCAAGACTGAAGACCAGGAGATTCCTCTGTCTTGGGGCTGAAGTGTGTGGAAACCTCTCCTTTAGCCCCATGGCATTTCCATTCCATCTTTCCTCAGAGCATCCCCTGTGAGGGTGAATTGGAATTTGGCATCACATAATTTTCCGCTCCTATTTCAAATGTTGGGCTTCAGGTTCACTCTGGCTGCCAGAGTTGATATCCTAAAATATCAGTTCTTAAAGTTTATTGCATGTTATTGTGTCAAAAATAATTTTAAAAAGGAAAGAAAGAAAGAAATTGCTCAGTGATGGAGTGATCTACAACTTTTGAGTCACTTGAGTAATTTTAGCCATTTGGTTTAACAAACTGAGATACTGACATTTCAGAGTCTTATTGCCCATTTACAAAAACAGTTTAATATCTTAAAATTATCAGAGGCTGCATTCTGCTTCAGATCAAGATGCATCCGTTTAAAATGCAAACATGCAAATTTATTTCTTCATTGTCCACATTGTGTTTTATAGCTCTAAGTAAATGAATGACACGACATATACAGCAGCCTTTTTGAACCAGGAGATGGATGTCAAAAATCATATACCGTTTTCTTTCATATGACCACGTGAAGCTGGATTCTCCTTTTCAAAAATTTATTTTGTCTGGACTGTCTACAGCTATTAACAATGGATCTGAACCTAAAAGCCTACTTTGTAAAAGCCACATTTTACCAACTGTTATTACTGGGAAAATGATACGATTTATAAACAAGTTTGTAGACATCTTTAAGGCAGATAAAGTATTATAATGTAGTATTATATGCGTTTTTAAAAATATATCTAGAGTTAGGAATGTAGTTTTTTTCCATATAGAGTTTAGCTGTAAACATTTGATTAATCAGAATTATCAGTCAGCAGCCCATATTAAAGTAATGACAAGGGATAATTGGAATGTATACTTTTAGCATATAGATGTGTTGAGTTCTTTAAAAAATAAAAAAAATCCAAAAATGATTTTTACTGCCAAACAATTTGTAATACATTTTGTAAAAAAGAGAAGCATACAGTAAACACTCCAATTCATGGGCCAGTCCAAGATCCAGAAACAGTCTGGTCCTCCTGGGGTCGCCCTGGAGGCAGCATACTCTAACTTGATGTTCCGAATCAGAGGGAGGTTCAGCAAAATGGATTTCTGCTGTCCTAAAGTCTAACATGGGGAAATCACAAACAGGTACAAGGTTTTGTTTGTTGTTCCATTTTTCTTTTTTTCTCTTCCACAGTATCGGATTATATAATTATTTTTAAACAATGAAAGATTAAGCTAAATCTTAGAAACTGGTCCAGGATTTTCCAAACTACATTCCTTCAAAAAATATTTGTAACGACCTGCCACCTGCTTCTCCCAAGTCCAGTAACTTTCCTTGCAACCAATATTGATTCAAAAGACAGTTCATTTATTGATAACAAGTGTACAGTTCCAAAGCACTGCTAAGACTAAGCCTCTGTGCGCCAAAAACCGTCTTTTCTCCTTTTTCCCTCCTTTTCCCCTCCTTCGTCCCCCTTGCCTCCTTAGTCTCCTGATTCTCCCCCTGGTACGGCCTTTAGCATTCCAGCGCCTGGGATAAGAAGCCATCTGCCTCTAACGGTGCTACATCTATTTACCCGCCATTCCCCCCCCCACACCTTTTACAATGGCAGAACCGCAGCATGCAAAAAGCAACTACCAACTAGCCAACAGTAA